CACACACACCCACAGCACACACACACACACACACACACACACACACACAATTACACACACGCACACAAACCCACAGCACACACACTCACACAATTACACACACGCACACCCCCACAGCACACACACACACACACAGACAGACGCACACACCCCCACAGCACACACACCACACATACCACACACACAACACACACACAGACAGACGCACACACCCCCACAGCACACACACCACACAGACACAACACACAAGCACACAAACCCACAGTACACACACACTCACACAATTACACACACGCACACCCCCACAGCACTCACACACACACACACACACACAGACAGACGCACACACCCCCACAGCACACACACCACACAGACACAACACACAAGCACACAAACCCACAGTACACACACACTCACACAATTACACACACGCACACCCCCACAGCACTCACACACACACACACACACACAGACAGACGCACACACCCCCACAGCACACACACCACACAGACAGATGCACACAATTACACACACATACAATTACACAATGCCTGCAACATCAGAATCATAAAAACACAAACTGAGCCGTTACTTCCATACCAGTGAACCATAACAGTGAACACTATGAAAATTATGAAGCCACGGTCAAAGCAGGGTTATTTTAGTTTAACTTGAAGTATTAAAGTAACCGAGACTAAATGAACTAAAACTAATAAATAAAAAATTACACTAAAAAACTGAAACAGAAGAGTGATATCCAGACGTCTCGTGGCGTCGCTATACGTCTGAAAGGACGCTCTCTCTCTCTCGCCGCTTAATCCTCCGATCAAATTAAACCACAAGACACTTGAGAAGGGGAACAGAATCTCATTTGAGTATTTGAGAAGAGCGCTTCTAGCCTCCTCTTTTAATTAGTTATGAAAGACGAGCGATCAGAGAGAAGCGTTCACATTAACGGAGGACACGTGAGAATTACAGGAGCCGTGGAGGCCTTCTTCAAGAGAAGAACAAAGCACAGGAATTACCTTTTAATTACCAATTTAAAAAAACGTTAAAAAAATGTTTTCGTTACTTGATTATAAATGTTAACTGGAATTTAAAAAAATGTTTTAAAAAGTTATATTTCAGCTAGTTGCCATAGCAACATTTCTCATTTTAATTCTGTTTGACTTGATGCACTAAAACTAACACCGAAATAAAAATGTATCAAAACAATAGACATATAAAACAAAATACACCGTGGAAAAATTTGAATAAAAACTATAATAGTATCTCAATCATACTAAAATAACACTATTGATCTGAATAATGACACAGACTATTGTCTTCTGTAGAGCTGCTTTACAGCTGAAATTAAATTCATAATTGATTAATTTTACAGTTATTGTTATTAGCATCACTGTGAAGCTGCTTTAAAATAATCTGGACTGTATAAAGCACTATAAACATAAAGGTGACGACTTGATATTTAAAAAAACAGCTAAACATTAGTTATTAGCTTTCTTAGTTATTTTGATTTATAAAGCGGAGAGTTCCGGTGCTTGGCTCTGATTGGCTGAGCCGCGTTCGAAGCTGTTGTAAATGACGCTACAAAGTAACACACACCTTTGTTTACATTTGTGTGTTGCTCGGCAACCGCTTTGTAGCAACCACAACTGTTTCTGAGGAGCTACATTGTTTGGTGGAAGAATACTGTGTTTATTAATATCATTACACTTTATTTGCTCTGCTTTATTTTGTGAAACCTTACTTATTGTTAATGTAAAAATAGAATAGTTTTGGTGGTTGTGTTCTTGATGGAGATCAGTGTAACTTTGCCTCCTCATTTCTGATCACGAAGAGAATAAACCGGCCGATGCAGTATTTGTTTGACCTCAATGACCGAGCGCAGTGGTTTACTGGAATGATATTTCCCATCATGCATCTGTCAGAAGAGCAGAACTCTGGGAACCTCACCGTGTGAATGTAGCGCAGAAGCGGCGTATGGTCTGTACCTGAGCACTGCTGGGTGGGAATCTGTTGCGAGCCGCAGGGTGCCGTGGTGCGGTGGAGCGGCATCTGCTCCGCTCCTGGAGGAGGCAGGAACCCCACGGAGGAGCTGAGGAGACCAGCACATGGGCTTCAACACGTCAGCTGCACAGATCATCAGTATTCACTGCGCTGCAGTGGCTCAGGCGCTTTAATAAGGACATGAGCTCAAGGAGCCCTTCACCCATCTGTGCGCCGCTTCATATGAAGCATGTGCTGCGGAGAGATCGCTCCCTCACGGGACCCGCCGCGTTAGATTAACACCAGCTGCATTTCTGGCCTTATAAATCATCCTGAGCGTGGCCTACTAAAGTCAAGATCCCCGAGAGACGACGCAGAACTAACCTGTTTAACCCGTACGGATAGAGCCGTTCTACACCAGACTGAAACCATGCTCATCAGATTAGATCAGTCTATTCTATATTCTAAAGAAACACAGGAGCATTCGTCAGCAGACACGCGTCAAATCATTCTGAATTCACCTGGTTTTTACAACAGTTTCACACTCAATCAGCTTCAGTATTCCACCGGCGGATCGTCACAATAGTGTGTGCTTTACATCCTAATTATGACACTTTCCAGATCTGTTTTGGAAACGGTACACATAAATGTTTTATATTTAACTCCCCAGTAACGCCCTCTGGTTCTTTTGAGACTGACATTTATGCATTTGACAGATGCTTTATTCCAAAGTGACTTTCATTGCATTTACAGCAACACGTGAAACCAAACAGAAAGAAATATGACGGAAAAAAACCCAATAAAGCATTTACTGTTCACTGACAAAACAAAATCATCCCGTCAATCAACAAGAAACTGTTTATTCTCATTACACGTTATACATAAAACACAAATCACAATTTCTAGGAAAATGCATAGTTTTTAGTAAGTGAGTGAAACTTGGTGAACGCTTCAAGACCCTTATTTACACAGCTTTGTTTCCCAGATATTTTACAATTATATTTTAAGAAATATAATCATTTTAAAGCAATGTTACACGTTTCGTGTTCCGGTTATTTTGGACCCCGGTATGGAGTACCATTAGCGTCAAAAATACTTTTTGTAGAATTATCTATTAGTCTCAAAAAACACTTTTCCCCGTATCTCACACACTTTTGGGACTGAATGTTGTTGTTTGAATATGAATATGTTTGTCTACTGGCGAACCACTGCAGCATGAAAAATTGTGTTTTATTTGAAAAATATTAAGATTCTTCGGGTCCAAACGAAGCAGGAGTGTGAAAATAATATCCAGATTCTGAATGCTCCCAGTTATTAACACAATCTAAAATCAACAGGAGCTCAAGAAAACAGCCTCCTGATGCAGCGATGGATGAGAATGTGCATCACTGTGCCACATCATGCTGGTTTCATCAGGCTAGAGAAGAACTGGCCCCCGACTGAGCCTGGTTTCTCCCAAGGTTTCTTCTCCATTTCTGTCGTTTCTCTCTCTCCGGCGTGTGGTGTTTCTCTCTCTCCGGCGTGTGGTGTTTCTCTCTCTCCGGCGTGTGGTGTTTCTCTCTCTCCGGCGTGTGGTGTTTCTCTCTCTCCGGCGTGTGGTGTTTCTCTCTCTCCGGCGTGTGGTGTTTCTCTCTCTCCGGCGTGTGGTGTTTCTCTCTCTCCGGCGTGTGGTGTTTCTCTCTCTCCGGCGTGTGGTGTTTCTCTCTCTCCGGCGTGTGGTGTTTCTCTCTCTCCGGCGTGTGGTGTTTCTCTCTCTCCGGCGTGTGGTGTTTCTCTCTCTCCGGCGTGTGGTGTTTCTCTCTCTCCGGCGTGTGGTGTTTCTCTCTCTCCGGCGTGTGGTGTTTCTCTCTCTCCGGCGTGTGGTGTTTCTCTCTCTCCGGCGTGTGGTGTTTCTCTCTCTCCGGCGTGTGGTGTTTCTCTCTCTCCGGCGTGTGGTGTTTCTCTCTCTCCGGCGTGTGGTGTTTCTCTCTCTCCGGCGTGTGGTGTTTCTCTCTCTCCGGCGTGTGGTGTTTCTCTCTCTCCGGCGTGTGGTGTTTCTCTCTCTCCGGCGTGTGGTGTTTCTCTCTCTCCGGCGTGTGGTGTTTCTCTCTCTCCGGCGTGTGGTGTTTCTCTCTCTCTGGCGTGTGGTGTTTCTCTCTCTCTGGCGTGTGGTGTTTTCTCTCTCGTGTGTGTATGCATGTGCAGTGATTTACCTGGCTGCTGCGTGGGTGCAGGAGGCATCTGACTCCGAGTGCTGTACGGCACAGAACCCACGGGCCGGTACGGCTGTCCAGACACTGTGAACTGGCTGGGCGAACAGTAACACGCCGGAATCTGTGACGAGAACAACACACAGTGAACTCCAGTGAAGTACCTCCATGTGACGGGCTACAATCACTGAACTCAACACAGCTGCAGTGTGTGATTTCTGAGGGACCAAGGGCCCATACCAAGCGCTGACCGCTTTAAGTCTGAATAATGGCAAAGCTCAGAGCCCTTAACGCACACCATCACTAATAGTGCTCATTCATCACGTTCAGGAACACACGTGCCAGAAATTGTGAAGCATTGAGGAAAACCTAAAGGTTAAACTAAATAATTTGGCAGAAAAATAAAAACTGTTGCACATTGCATTGGTGCAGAAGTATGTGTATTTTTAAAAATGTATGCAACTGCTGTGTAACAGCTAATTTAGAAGCACCACAATTAGATTGACGTTTGTTACATAGGAGCTACTTTGGAAGCTGGTTTCCGCCGTGGAATAAAACATCAACTTTTTTCCCCCTCAGAACTGCAAGGTGTAAACTCTCATTTTGAGAAGAAATGTCAAATTTACCTTTTTTATATTTTTATTCTGTGGCTGAAATAAACCAATCAATTTCTGAACAGACATTTAAGGTGCAGCGTATTGAAAATGTAAATATGTTAATAAAGATTTGTAAAAATGTGACTTGTATTTAAAAAATTTTAATTGTGTCCAAAATGACGCTTAAAGGGTTAGTTCACCCAAAAATTAAAATTAGGCTGCGTTTTACTCACCCCCGAGTCAGATCAAAGACCATTTTTAATATAATTCGATTGAAAGAAGAAAGTCATATACACCTAGGATGCCTCGGGGGTGAGTAAAACGCAGGCTAATTTTCATTTTTGGGTGAACTATCCCTTTAATATTCCGTTATATTGATTTGATGGCAGGCAATATCATATGATAAGAAAACTCAATATGAATTGATCTGAATAATGACTCTATTGTCTTCTGTAGAGCTGCTTTACTGCTGAAATTGAGTTTGTTTCATAATTCATGAATTTTGCAACATTAATTTATGTTGCAAAGTGTTATGTTATGGTTCTGTTAATTACTGTGAAGCTGCTTTGAATCAGTCTGTATTGTGTCTAATCAGTTATAATCAAATGTTCTACACACACTCGTGCTCTTCATGCCCTCTTGAACACTTAGATCAAGTATGTCATGTAAATAGACAAGTGCTCGAGTGCAGAAATTTTGGGACAGACCACATGTGTGTGTTCGAACAATGTGGTAGTGCCTGTTTGACATATGATTTGTAGCAGGCATTGAGCTCTGATGATTGATGTGTCTCACACCTGCTGCTGCATGAAGCTCTGCTGCTGGCTGACGGTGGGCGCGGGCACAGTTTGTCCCGGCGAGGGCATCACGTATCCGGTCTGATGTAGCGGCGGTGGAGGCGGCGGATAAACGCCTGCATGAGCGTCACGGCCGTCACCTGAGGCCTGCTGGACCAGCATCATGTGACCGAACTGAGCGCTCAGATTATCCTGCTGAGAGAAGAGTTCACACGAGACGTCACACTACAGCGGTCTAAATACTCTATCAGAGTGCATATGTAGAGTACATGCAGTGAGATGCTCTTATCAGAGAAATGGGAAGAGACAAGGCACTTTTCTATTCATTGAATATTAATTCATCACACAGATCCTCAGCACAAACACAACAGAGCGATGAGACAGGAAGTGAACAGAGAGAGACAGGAAGTAGAGAGAGAGCCGTAGATACCACAGTGAACGGCTGGACCGGTGGGTAAGACAGCGGCGGGTGCTGGACGGACCAGAGAGGCTGAAGACACAGAGCAGGAAGGAAATTGATTTAGATCCAGATGTACAGGATGGAAAAAGAAGGTGTTAGTTTACAGCACAACATGACGTTTATCGAGTATAACCATCATGCTCTACTGTCATCAGAAGAACATGTCACTGATTAATTCAGAATGGCTCCTCTAGGTCTTTAAATAACGATTCATCAGGACAAGCATCAAACCTACAGTCCAGTGACATCAGAGCAACTAAACTCACCTGTGCCATGACGTGATTGGTGGGCTGAGCGGCTGGAGGCGGAGCTACGGATGATTGACATCTGGAGGCCTGTGAGGTCACGCTGGGACTGTAGACGACAGCACTGCCGTCGGGGTTCAGAAACGGCTGACCTGCGATCAGTCAAGAGGACTGTAGATCAGTAGAGGCTCCTAACAGAGCAGATATACACACACACATACAGCTGAGTGTGAATGGAGAGAAGAGCATCCTGAGCGTCTCCGTGTCAGCTCAACATCTTCGGAAGTCTAAATATAAACCTGTAAATGATGGCAAATGGAGCACATGAGATGGTCTGGTCTTACAAACACCCTCATTGAGCTCCAGAACACAAAGGCCTCGACAGAAGACAGAAATGTTCCATTTGCAAGCTCCTTAAAAGAGGTCAATAAGCAATTACACAGCCGTGCTGCCTGCAGTAAACGCATTACAAGCTGTCCTCGCAGCCGCATGCATATTTAAACACCGCTCTCCAATGAGACGCAATATTTCACACGTCCGTCTGAATGCGGACACATCACCAACGGCTTCATTATGAGTTTCCAGCAGCACACTGGGGATGCATTCAGACGAACACTGCACAGGGCCGCACGATAACCACTAAACGGTTAACCACGATTACTCTGCTCAAATATATAATCATGATTACTGTTATTTTACATTCATCAGAATTACCGCACTCTCACATAAAGCACAAATCAAGAGAACGGATTTAGTCGCAGCAGTTAATATATCGATTTAAGAGAAAAGCTCTGATTGGGGGATATAAGCTCTTGACAGACGGAGGCTCATTACCAATGCAAGATAACGCAAAATTAAAATTAAAGGGGTCATGAACTGAGAGATCAATATTCCCTTGATCTTTTAACATTTAAGAGGTCATTTTACTATTAAAACATCCTATAAGTTTCAGAACTCAATTTTCTTATATTGAAGCCTATCTGCCAAAACGACAGCTTGTGTAATGTACCGTACTATGATGTAATAGTGTGGCTAAACTCCACCTCCGCAGAAGATCAACTCCTGTTTACAGCACAGCCCGTTTAGCCCCGCCCACCGATTCTACGTCGCTGCCCGTTTATCCCCGCCCCCCGATTCTACGGCGCTGCCCGTTTAGCCCCGCCCACCGATTCTACGTCGCTGCCCGTTTATCCCCGCCCCCCGATTCTACGGCGCTGCCCGTTTAGCCCCGCCCACCGATTCTACGTCGCTGCCCGTTTATCCCCGCCCCCCGATTCTACGGCGCTGCCCGTTTAGCCCCGCCCACCGATTCTACGTCGCTGCCCGTTTATCCCCGCCCCCCGATTCTACGGCGCTGCCCGTTTAGCCCCGCCCACCGATTCTACGTCGCTGCCCGTTTATCCCCGCCCCCCGATTCTACGGCGCTGCCCGTTTAGCCCCGCCCACCGATTCTACGTCGCTGCCCGTTTATCCCCGCCCCCCGATTCTACGGCGCTGCCCGTTTAGCCCCGCCCACCGATTCTACGTCGCTGCCCGTTTATCCCCGCCCCCCGATTCTACGGCGCTGCCCGTTTAGCCCCGCCCACCGATTCTACGTCGCTGCCCGTTTATCCCCGCCCCCCGATTCTACGGCGCTGCCCGTTTAGCCCCGCCCACCGATTCTACGTCGCTGCCCGTTTATCCCCGCCCCCCGATTCTACGGCGCTGCCCGTTTAGCCCCGCCCACCGATTCTACGTCGCTGCCCGTTTATCCCCGCCCCCCGATTCTACGGCGCTGCCCGTTTAGCCCCGCCCACCGATTCTACGTCGCTGCCCGTTTATCCCCGCCCCCCGATTCTACGGCGCTGCCCGTTTAGCCCCGCCCACCGATTCTACGTCGCTGCCCGTTTATCCCCGCCCCCCGATTCTACGGCGCTGCCCGTTTAGCCCCGCCCACCGATTCTACGTCGCTGCCCGTTTATCCCCGCCCCCCGATTCTACGGCGCTGCCCGTTTAGCCCCGCCCACCGATTCTACGTCGCTGCCCGTTTATCCCCGCCCCCCGATTCTACGGCGCTGCCCGTTTAGCCCCGCCCACCGATTCTACGTCGCTGCCCGTTTATCCCCGCCCCCCGATTCTACGGCGCTGCCCGTTTAGCCCCGCCCACCGATTCTACGTCGCTGCCCGTTTATCCCCGCCCCCCGATTCTACGGCGCTGCCCGTTTAGCCCCGCCCACCGATTCTACGTCGCTGCCCGTTTATCCCCGCCCCCCGATTCTACGGCGCTGCCCGTTTAGCCCCGCCCACCGATTCTACGTCGCTGCCCGTTTATCCCCGCCCCCCGATTCTACGGCGCTGCCCGTTTAGCCCCGCCCACCGATTCTACGTCGCTGCCCGTTTAGCCCCACCCACTGATACTACATCGCTGCCCGTTTAGCCCCGCCCACCGATTCTATAGCATTGCTTGTTTAGACCTGACCACCGATTATACAGCACTGCTCGTTTAGCCCCACCCACCGATTCTACAGCACTGCTCGTTTAGCCCCGCCCACAGATTCTACATCAATGCCCGTTTAGCCCTGCCCACAGATTCTACATCAATGCCCGTTTAGCCCTGCCCTGCTCGTTTAGCCCCACCCACCGATTCTACAGCACTGCTCGTTTAGCCCCGCCCACAGATTCTACATCAATGCCCGTTTAGCCCTGCCCACAGATTCTATAGCAGTGCCTGTTCATGCATGTAGTGTAAATAACGAGAGAGGCAAATGCAGAAACCAAACGATAAAGCTGCTCCGAAGACAACAAAACGCTGTTCAGTGCCAACTCTGCTTCGCCTTCCTTCTGATCCCAATATAAGGAAAGGCGCTTATTCAAACAGAGCGTTCCGATGAGGGGGTCAAAACAGGACAGAAAATAGCCTATTACTTCTAAATTATTACGTTTTTTGATGTAAAAATCTTGATAACATCATAAGTGGACATCAGAGAACAGTACAAAATAATAAAAAAGGCAGTTCATGACCTTTTTAAACGTTTTCAGGATAAACAATCAGTGGGCAAATATCGCAGATGATTATGCTTAAATTGAGAGAAGCTGAAATCGTGAGTGTTTATGAAACGCCAGTCTGAGCGACCATGTAGTAAACTCTTGGGTAGAAAATGTGTCCATTTAAGCGAAAAGCTCTGATTGGGGGATTTAAGCTCTTGATATCTGGCAACCATAACCATGAGCTTGTGGAGGCTTGTTACTGATGCCAGACAAGGCATATAACAGGCGCTTACCCTTAATAAATCAAGAGAAACAGAAATCGTGATCATGATAACGCATTCACAGAGAACGCATTTTCCCCATTCCGATTCACTACTTTTCCATTATTATGTAAACGCTCTAGACGGACGTGTATGACCTTTGCGCTCGCATCTCACGTCTTTTGCAGAGTCTCGCACACGAACAAATGTCAGTTCCAAAACAGTGGACCAATCAGAAGACCCCGGAGGCGGGGCAAGTTGGCATGGCAACGGTTTTATTTGGTGGCAACTTGGCGGAGACGTTCCGCCCCCCGATTCTACGTCGCTGCCCGTTTAGCCCCACCCACTGATACTACATCGCTGCCCGTTTAGCCCCGCCCACCGATTCTATAGCATTGCTTGTTTAGACCTGACCACCGATTATACAGCACTGCTCGTTTAGCCCCACCCACCGATTCTACAGCACTGCTCGTTTAGCCCCGCCCACAGATTCTACATCAATGCCCGTTTAGCCCTGCCCACAGATTCTACATCAATGCCCGTTTAGCCCTGCCCACAGATTCTACATCAATGCCCGTTTAGCCCTGCCCACAGATTCTACATCAATGCCCGTTTAGCCCTGCCCACAGATTCTACATCAATGCCCGTTTAGCCCTGCCCACAGATTCTACATCAATGCCCGTTTAGCCCTGCCCACAGATTCTACATCAATGCCCGTTTAGCCCTGCCCACAGATTCTACATCAATGCCCGTTTAGCCCTGCCCACAGATTCTACATCAATGCCCGTTTAGCCCTGCCCACAGATTCTAACCAAACCAAACGATAAAGCTGCTCCGAAGACAACAAAACGCTGTTCAGTGCCAACTCTGCTTCGCCTTCCTTCTGATCCCAATATAAGGAAAGGCGCTTATTCAAACAGAGCGTTCCGATGAGGGGGTCAAAACAGGACAGAAAATAGCCTATTACTTCTAAATTATTACGTTTTTTGATGTAAAAATCTTGATAACATCATAAGTGGACATCAGAGAACAGTACAAAATAATAAAAAAGGCAGTTCATGACCTTTTTAAACGTTTTCAGGATAAACAATCAGTGGGCAAATATCGCAGATGATTATGCTTAAATTGAGAGAAGCTGAAATCGTGAGTGTTTATGAAACGCCAGTCTGAGCGACCATGTAGTAAACTCTTGGGTAGAAAATGTGTCCATTTAAGCGAAAAGCTCTGATTGGGGGATTTAAGCTCTTGATATCTGGCAACCATAACCATGAGCTTGTGGAGGCTTGTTACTGATGCCAGACAAGGCATATAACAGGCGCTTACCCTTAATAAATCAAGAGAAACAGAAATCGTGATCATGATAACGCATTCACAGAGAACGCATTTTCCCCATTCCGATTCACTACTTTTCCATTATTATGTAAACGCTCTAGACGGACGTGTATGACCTTTGCGCTCGCATCTCACGTCTTTTGCAGAGTCTCGCACACGAACAAATGTCAGTTCCAAAACAGTGGACCAATCAGAAGACCCCGGAGGCGGGGCAAGTTGGCATGGCAACGGTTTTATTTGGTGGCAACTTGGCGGAGACGTTCAGTGTGAACGGCCCCTAACACTGCATTAATTATTCAATTTCAATATTCAACAAAACAAACAATTTCACTATAAAGGAGAGATTTAAGACTTCCAGTAAAACATGTGGTGAAATAATGTACCGTAACATCCCATCATACGGCATTATGAAGCGTCAGTCTGAGCGACGCAGGGTTAAGATCAGGTCAGTGGAGGACATGAAGTCATGCATGCGAGAGAAATCAGCTGTAGTGTTTACCAACCTGTGTGCGGGTTGACCAGGACACTTCCAGCCGGTATCCCCGCGGCTTCCAGCGGGAGCAGATAGTAGCTAGCGCTAGCCATGGACGCTGGCGGCTCGTAGCTGACAGCGGGGAAGGCCGTGGGCTGCGTTAGAGCCGCGGCGGCTGGAGGAGGCTGGGATCGAGAGAGCGACCCCGTGGACGAGCCTACACTACTACAAGAGTCAGAACCTAGAGAGGAGTAACGACATGAGCCTTACCGCACAGACAGAGGGGAAGAGCAGCGGATCATGGAGATTCATTGGGGATCGTCGACATACTGGAGCGCCGCGGTTATTAAAACACTCCAGAATATGGAAGGTCAGACGAATTTCAACAAGATGCTCAATTCAATTTCATTTCTAATTACCTCAGGGACCGAAGCAATGGAAGAAGAGAATAACTGTATTAGCTGAGAATGACATGTTAATTAATTTCTGATTAGTGTCTCGCTTCATTTCGGCAATTTACGCGTTTCTTTCTCTTCTCTCAAATACGGGAGGTTTTTTCTCTCTTTGAAATTAAAAACACTAAATGAGTTTGCGTGTAAAAGGTCATACTGGAGGAGGACGGTCGTTTATCTGATCGTATCAAAGATGTCTCTTCTGCTCAGCAAGGCTGAATTTATTTGATCAAAAATACAGTAAAAATTGTGAAATAATATTATAATATAAAACAGCTGTTTTCTCTGTGAATCTCTGTTAAACTGTAATGTATTTCTGTGATGTGCAGCTGTATTTTCAGCATCATTCCTCCAGTCTTCAGCGTCACATGATCTTCAGAAATCACTATAATATGCTGATTATTAGAAACATTTCTGATTATTATCAATGTTTGAGACAGTTGTGCTGAACTATATTTTTGTGGAAACTGTGATGCATTTTATTTTCAAGGATTCACAGATGAACAGAAAGTTCAAGAGAACAGCGTTTATTTGAAATAAAAATCTTTTGTAACATTAAAAACATCTTTACTGACACTTTATCAATTGAATGCAAACTTTTTGAATCAAAGTGTTTTTTTTGTGGTACCGATCCTATTTTAAATGGTAGTGTATCACATTGTCCAAAACAAATGTAATGATTTTTCACAATATTACAGTTTTACTGTATTTTGATGATTTTAATGCACCCTAGCGGAATAAATCTTACCAAGCCAAAACCTTTGAAGGGTAATGTATAAACGATCACCAATGAGTTCAGAGGACTGAACAAATAGCGTTAACAAAAGAGTGTGACTATCAGAGCATGCAGTGAGACACGGATGAGTCGCTACATAAAACATGCTGTTATTGCAAGAACAGAGACTGTATGAGAAGAAAAGCAGAGGAAGAGCGTATCAACAAATAAACCCGTCCACGCGTCCTCACCTGTGTTTGAGAGCCGCCCCGCGCTCTTGCTGCTGCTGGAGCTGTCTCCGCGGATCAGGACCGGGATGCCGCTGAAGCTGCTGGCTTTGGTCATGCCGGGCTTCAGGTTGAGGTTGGAGCTGTCTGAATCGGTGCTGCTCCACGGCCGCGGCTCTGAATACATGGCCTCGTTCTCGGAGCTGCTTTGGAGGCTGTTCCCCGACTGACTGTCCTTCAGCCTGCACGAGGACATCAGACAGCTTCAGAAGAACAGCTTCAATTCACGTTAGATATGAGGGACGCTCACAATCACCTGAAGATCTGCCGTCTCTGCTGGATGCTGTTACACACCTCGTCCTCCTGAATCCTGGAAAACACGTCGCTTATTACATTTGCATTTATGTGTTTGGCAGATGCTTTTATCCAATTCATCGAATTCATTGAGCTACAGGAATTGATGTTGTGACAGTGTTGCAGGATATTCAATGAAAACTTAAGCTGAATTATTCAGTTCAGTGCATGGAAACGCCCCTCATTTAGCATTTGTGCATTTGGCAGAAGCTTTAATGCAAAGCATTCAAGGTGCACATTTTATCAGTTCATGCATTCCCTGGGATTCGAACCCATGACCTTGGTGTTACTAACGTCATGATTTAGTGCATGAAAACGACCCCCACTAAACATTTATGCATTTAGCAGAAGCTTTTATCTAAAGCGACACTTTTTCAGTTCATGCATCCCCTGAGATTCGAACCTATGACCATGGCGTTGCGAACATCATGCTTTGCTGTTTGAACTGAACTGATTGGAGCTGAATAGTAACATTATTGTCGTCTTAGAGCTAGAATTTGAATTAGTCTTATATTTGATGTTTGATTCTCACTGATTCTGTTATTTTCCTGTTTATTTCTGTGAAGCTGCTTTGAAACGATCAGCATTGTATAAAGCGCAATACAAATAAATGTGACTTGACTTCTTACACTCACCTTTTATCCAGCGGGAAGGTGTCTAAACCCTGCAAAAGACATTCAGTGTTGTTTATTTTCACGTCAGAGAGCCATAAGCACATGATCATGTCGCTGTAGCGTATCTCACATCAGTGAAGATCCTCTCTCTTGCTCTCTGATATTCCTCCTCTCGCTCCTCGATGGACTTGCTCCTCCTGTCCTCCTTTAGTTTCATGCGCGTCTGAAACACATCACACTATGCCGTTACTCTGCGAGCTAATGGCGGGTTTGATGTCGCTTCATCAGCAGATCTCCACCTACCACGCTGTTGCTGTCGTCTACGCTGGAGTTGTCCCTTTTTAAGATGCAGCGCTTCTGGAAATCATCCGTCTTGTCGTCTTTGATGTGTTCGGAAAACTTCTGATCTGGTCTGCACACGAACGGAGAGAGAAATCAAAATGAGGACCGCTCCAGGAGAAGTTCACGGCCGTCACACAAACACGATCCCCACGAGCCTGACGCAAATCCCTCATAATTACGCTTCTCCTGCAAAACTCGTTTCGAAGGGATCAAACGCAAAACGTTGGGCTTCAGTCGTCTCACGCTGAACGCTAGCATGCGGAGGTCACTCACATTCGTGTATTGCTGGTTTTGTTGATGATGACACATTTGCCGGTCTGGTCGACGTTGTGGTCTAAGCCGAAGTAAGCGGCGACTCTGTGCAGGAGCATTCGGTGATAGGAGGTCATGGGCGGAAACTTCCTCCTCTGGCTCCTGGAACAAACCAAAACACATCAACAGCACACCATGTAAATGTGTTAATAACCATTCAACTGTTGGAGGCTTATGCATTCAATTGATTAGACATGCTTTTGACCCAACTGAATCCAGAAATATTAAAATGGGGGAAAAAATGGAATTTGAGAAAATTTAATGGAATTCGGGAATTATTTTTATTTTTTTTCATATGGCCCTAATATGTAATTTTTGTTCAACTTTTAATAAATTGTTGTTACATTGTACAAGTTTCATTATTTTAATTACCCAGATGTGCTTTTTGATTACTAAAACTAAATTTTAGTTTAATTAAATTAAAACTAAAATTAAAAATCCAGAAAAATTAAAACAGAAAAATAAACTAAATCCAGAAAATCTAAAATGTACAAAATGTAATTTGGGAATAAATAAAATGGATTTTATGAGGATGACACAGAGCTGCGATGAAGGACTTACTCGTTATTACTGATGAAGTCGAGGATGTCCTGCTCCAGCTTCAGCAGCATCATTCGGTCCCTGAAGATGAACGACTAGTTAGCCGTCTACTGCATCTACTGCTCCGTTCAATACATAATGATTCAAAACACAAATCCTACCAACAGTAATCATTACTGACTAACAGTACTAATATAATCAGGAATTTCCACAACGGGATGCATGTCCACCTCTGGAGGTCAAATGAGATATGAGGGTGTGGTTGAGGTCAAGCGTGTGTAACCTGGGATTGTTCTTCAGCGTGTTCACCAGGAACCTGTGCAAGTCGATGCCAGTGGAGTCCTTGTATTCCTGACTGGAATCTGCACAGACAGGACAACACACGTGTGTGCTTTCGTCCCTCTGAAACAGCCGCACACAACTCAGCTCAACCCAACTCAAATCAACCCAACCCAAACTAACTCAAACCAACTCAACCCAACTAAACCCAACTCAAACAACTCAACCAAACCCAGCTCAACCCAACCCAGCTCAACTCAACTCAACCAAGCCCAGCTCAACCAAACCAAACCAAACCCAGCTCAACCCAACCCAACCAAACCCAGCTCAACCAAACCAAACCCAACCCAACTCAACCAAGCCCAGCTCAACCAAACCAAACCAAACCAAACCAAACCAAACCCAGCTCAACCCAACCCAACTCAACTCAATCCAATTCAACCCAATCCAATTCAACTCAGCTCAACCCAACCCAATTAAACCCAACCCAACCCAACTCAACTCAACCCAACTAAACCAAACCAAACCCAACTCAGCTCAACCCAACCCAACTAAACCAAACCCAACTCAGCTCAACCCAACCCAACTGAACTAAACCCCAATTCAACCCAACCCAACTAAACTCAACTCAACCCAATTCAACTCAACTCAACTCAACCCAACTCGGCTCAACCCAACCCAACTAAACTAATCCCAATTCAACCCAACTCAACTCAACTAAACCAAACCCAACCCAACTAAACCAAACCAAACCCAACTCAACCCAACTAAACTCAACCCAACCCAACTAAACCAAACCCAACTCAGCTCAGCTCAACCCAACCCAACCCAACTTAACTAAACTCAAATAAACCAAACCCAACCCAACTAAACCAAACCCAACTCAACTCAACTAAACCAATCCCAACCCAACTTAACTAAACTCAAATAAACCAAACTCAACTCAACCCAATTAGACCCAACCCAATTCAGCTCAGCTCAACTAAACCCAACCCAATTAAACCCAACTCAACCCAACCCAATTAAACCCAACTCAACCAAACCCAACTCAACTAAACCCAACTCAACCCAATTAGACCCAACCCAATTACACCCAACTAAGCTCAACTCAACTAAACCCAACCCAACCCAACCAACCCAATTAAACCCAACTCAACCCAACCCAGTTAAACTCAACCCAACCGAACTCACCTCTGGACAGCATCTTGCGTGGCATTTTCTCCAGTTTCTCCAGCTTGTTGGCACTTCTGTCTGTATCATCCTCGTCTGCAGTAAGAGGCAATTCTTCTTTGTCAAACGTCTGCGAGAGTTTAATATGATCTGCATCCTGTGGATAAAAACAAACAACACTAATGGAGCTTGACAGTAAGCCAACATTTAAACGAAAATATACACTTCAAACTAGATTTTGATGCGTTTATGCTAACTCAATCATATTATTAATAAAACCACCCATAATGCAACTGAAATTTAATAACTTAATAAATGTTTAAGCATCAATTAAAAATGTTGTCTGTTATGTCATAATAATAATCAAACAGCAATATCGACAAGAAAAAGACAAAAGGGAAAACTGAATTAGTCTATTTAATTGTACAATACGGCATTATTATTTAACACTGCAAAGATAAATAAAAGTCTATAGTTACAATAAGAGTGTTCGATAACAAATCAGTTAACTGTGGTTTCAAATGAGTATTTCTTAGAGCGAGAAAGAGAGAAAAATTACGCCTTCATTTTAGATAGATCACGATTTGTTTGAATGAACCTTCAACCCTCCTGAGAAAGCAATCAGGCTTTCTTCTGTGATTAAGGACAGAGAACACCAGCATAACCGTGTCAGAAAACAGAGACACTATCAGAATGCCCACTTTAAGTTTCCTTTGTGTCTAAAAACACTTCCACCCTGAAAGCTAAAACGCTGCATAATACGACATAAACAACAAAAACCAGCCAATCGGTTCATCTGGCGCCATCTCAACTTGTGTGCGATTTCACATCACTGGATTTATTACGCAGTTCAATTTACCTTAAATAACTATATAATATTAAGATATTACTATGATGTAAAATAAATATTATTAGTCACAGCAGGACGAAACATACAGTATGACGGAGACGGCATCATCTGCTGACTGTACTCATAATATTCCACTGAACAGAGCAGCGCGTCATGAGCGTGTTTGGAGATCTGGAGCACGTTTACCTGCTGATCTTGAGGCAGTTGTGTGGTAATCGTGGAAGGACAGGGTTCTTCACAAATGGCCAGGCCCCGAACTAACTTTACCTTTGTGTTCGACTGGAGAAGAGCATGAGTGAAGTTACACAGAGTCTCTGACTTTCACAAGCACACGTGCATGAGCGCATGGCAAAACCAGGCCCTGAACACAGGGATGAAAGAAAAAAATCCCATGCAAACAACATAACAAACATGGGTCCTGGATCACAAAACGCTCGATCGAACAAGTGTGTGATCCTGAAACGAAAAATGAGCTGCATGCAGAACTGAACCACATCATGACGACACCGAACTGCTCGTAACACACAAGCCGCCCACTGCAGTGCGCTCTGGGAGGAGACCGAGCAGGCAAACACTGAAGCTCATGCCGCTGTACCTTGGGTCTTTTAGCGCCTGGTCCGAGTGTTTGCCGCTGTACGGTGAGCAATGAGACAAAAGGAAGCATGTCAGTCTCACCGATGTTAAGGTTTCTGAATCACAAACTGCAGAGAGCTCAGCTCTGCATGAGAGAAAAGACCACATACTATAGGAAAAACATCTTGTGCATCGTGTGCAGCTGAACAGATCATTAAACATCACGAGTGAACCAGCTTATCTTCTCCTCCATAGACTGTTTTCTCACTAAGAGAATTAGTGAATTCAATGGCAGGAACATTGAAAAAGTGGCTTAAAATAAATACATATTTGACTTATCCAGCCCGGTGATTTATGAAAATCTTTCAGTCAAATATCTTTGACACTGATTAGATTAATAACAGCAGGAGTGTCAATCAAAGCCATTATTAGAATTACAGCCGCCGTCTTCCTTCATTAGACGTGAGATACACTAGAGGTTTCTGCTAATATAATATAATAGAAATATGAGCCCTCAGGATGAAAACCCATTACAGAATCACTCTGAATGACACTTAATAAAAATTAAAAATGATACTTACAAAACTGAAAAAGCTACTTATATTAAATGATACTTAAATTGAAAAAAACAAAACATGTAATTTAAAAAAAAATTAAAACATTATTAAAATATATTAATTAAAATATTAACTAACCCTGTGTTTTGTGATCACTGCATATATCACTGAAAAAATATTGTATATAATAAAAATTTATATTTAAAAAAATTCTACTTAAAACACTGATATATATATATTATATATATATATATACACATTTTTACACAAACATTTTTACACACACACATTTTTACACACACACACACACATTTTCACACACACACACACACACACACTCTCTCTCACACACACACACACACTCTCTCACACACACACACTCTCTCACACACACACAGTGATTGAGTACATCATTTGTTGGCGTGTCTTTTGTCTCAGTTGTTCTCTCAGCCTCAACAGGCAGAAGTGGCCGATTGTTAATAAGCACAGGGAGTCTTTACTGAATAACGGCGGATGGTTATTCAGCTTTAATTGGCTATTGAACATCCCGTAATCCCCGAGAGGCTGAATCTGGCACGCAGCCACGGATCCTCAATGACAGCCGATGCTGGAAGAGCCTCGTCCGTCTGTAACACACTGGCAGAGCTGCGACGGAGGAAACAGACAGATGGCCGTAAAGCTCCTCGCCGCGGCTAGCACATCCGTGCTCTCTTCCACCAGCGTTTCTCAGGGAAATCAAATGAAAGGCTCGACGGAGGAAATGTCGCTGTATCAGACAGAAACAGAGGAATAACCTTCAAAACCTTCAGCATCAGAGCGATTCAGTAACGAATCAGAGAGACTCAACAGTTCTGCTGTGACTTTGAACGATTTTTTGTTTGTGAAATTGATCAAAATTGGCGATATCGTGTCACACAACAAATCTTGTTTATTGAACTGTTGTATAAATGAATCTCATTTGCAGTCGTGCAGATATTGGGAGAAAAGCAGCACTCTAGCTGGTGTGATATCACTAAACTATATCATATTATATAAATATTAGAGGATGATTTATTTTTTGTGCTCATATCTTGAATTGTAGGCTCATATAACTGCATTCTAATAGACTCCATCACGCACTGCATCGGTGTAAGATGACGGACAGCTCTGGACGGGCGCATTTATCATTATAACACGTTATCTTTAAATCAACCGTCTTCTGTTTTCATCTCGTTCTCTCTCATAAGCCGTTGAGCTGTTGTTCTTCAGGCTTCGACCTGAAATGGAGAAAGGAGAGCGCAGTTTCCATCACATCGTTACCTGCGTCTCAGTCGTGTCGTCGCTGCAGTTCTCCTCGTGCATGCGGCTCTGTGGCGCATTGAGCTGGCGTTCGTCTGCGCTCGAGCGGTTCTCATCCAGAGCTCTCACAGTCTCTCCGACAGAATCAGACATCTTCATCAGACACGGCTACCTGGAGCGCCGACCGAGAGCTGAAGCTGGAACACACGCCAATTATTTTACTATGTGACTGCAACATAAAAACATTCAGAAACAAGCCACTAATAGTGAAAAGAAACACCTGATTCGGTTGCTTCTGTAGTGCATCATTAAACTTGTAAATCTCTCACACAAGCTTTAGCTGCTGCACATCATCCTCCGTCAACATATGCTCTAAAATAGCATAAACTTATATGAAACTGCATGACGTCTTGAGTTCTCTAGGGAGACGCTATACACGAGCGCCCAACACAATTAACCTCCAACAATTACGAGCCGAGTGTCTCACGCAAGGATCTGAGGATTACACCCATCTCAGACTTTCATTAACACGCTAGCGCAGAGTGAGATTTCTAACACGCGTGACGCGAGAGCGACGGCACCTCATCCAGACGGTGTAGAGACAACCTGTGAACGCATTCGAGAGCCACGAGGAATAAAAACACTCCGAAACCAGCAGAAGGCATTTTTAAAACCTCCTCACTGCAGACATTCACACATCTCTGCCCTCGGAAAAGCGATTTCTAATCATCCTTCACTCATCAACAAAATGTGTTAGTGTGGAAACTTCATTAAATTTAAAATTCATTAAATATGAATTATTTGTATGTTCTGAGGATCTGCCTAAAAGCAACACTGTGTATCTGTGCAATAATAATCTTTATTTTCATTTAAGGCATGACACCACAAGTGAAGAATAAATAAATAACTACTAAATATCACAGAACTTTATCAGTTGATTACATTAAAAATTTTCAAATTTTTTTCTGAAAGGTTATATTTAAATATGCAAATGATGGATTATCTAATTAAATATGCACTCATTTGCATACATTTCCAGAACATAAATCTGAACATCAGAAAATACTATCAACAGAGAAAAATTTTTAGGAGTAAAATGTTGTATAAATCAGTTTGAATTAAATATGAACAAATCTCCAAAATATAGAGGGGAATAAAACTGTAAAGTCTGGTGTTTGTAAGAGAAAAAACTCTAAAGATACGGATTGGAATTTTAAATCTACTGATGCAAATAGACAAAGAGCAATAAAATAAATGAGTATTTTGGATGTTTTCTTTCCACTAGTCCGAAAACAAAAAACAAAGCTCAAAATGGACCAATGCATTAATAAAACTGTGGTGTCTCGCCTCAATCCAGTATTTCTAGTGTTTATCTAATGAAAGTAAAATTCAAAACACACATGAAGGTTTCATTCCAGTGCAGTTAGTTTTCAATATTCAGCTTCGATTCGTTTCTTTCCACTGTCGACTAATAAGCAGCAGCTCAAATATTAGCGTGTTTGATTGCAGTACTGAGGGTCGTTTTAAGCAGGAAAAGCATCAGCGTTGTCGTCATAAAGCGATAAACAGAAGAGCCGTTACCCGGTGTTCTGCTGCGCGCCGTGAAGACCGAACCCTCGTGGCTTCAGTGGCGCTGCGGAGCGTGTCGTCGCATGTTCCCATGTCCCCTTCACCGGCCCCGGAGCCCGATCACTGCAGCGAGGGCCGCCGGCACGCTCATGTCCTTCAGCAGCCTGCGGACACAGAGCGACAGGTCACGGCGGTAATACGGGGAACTCGTACCTATGCTATTTTCATGGCCAAAATATACAAGTGTTGTATAAATGCAATAAAAGCAAATAAAAATACAGCCGTTTTTACACATACATATGTGACCCCGGACCACAAAATCAGTCATAAGGGTCCATTTTTGTGAAATTGAGATTTATGCATCATCTGAAGCTGAATAAATAATCTTTCATTGATGTATGGTTTGTTAGGATCGGACAATATCTGAAAATCTGGAATCTGAGGGTGCAAAAAAAATCTAAATATTGAGAAAATCATCTTTAAAGTTGTCCAAATGAAGTTCTTAGAAATGCATATTACTAATCAAACATTAAGTTTTGATATATTTTGCTGAATATCTTCATGGAACATGATCTTTACTTAATATCCTAATGATTTTTGGCATAAAAGAGAAATGTATAATTGTGACCCATACAATGTATTGTTGGTTATTGCTACAAATATCCCCCAGCGACTCAACACTGCTTTTGTGCTGCAGGGACACAGATGTTAATTCTAATACAACTTCTGGTAAAATCGTAATAAACAAGTCCTTAAGTCTGCTCCGATCGTGTTACTGATCACAAACTCAAGCGATGTTATAGTCAACAGGGGCTTGTTACGGAAGAGCGAGAGCTGAAATTAGACGACTGCTTCGAGACAAAAGCCTGCGAGTTTTACACTTTGACCTTTAGCGAAGCAACACGCCGGACGCTTTGAAAAGCAGCCTCTTTTTTCCCGTGAGATGAAAGCGTGCGTGGAACGGAGAGCGCAGCTAAGCAAACACTCCATGCTGACAATGAAGCGCATTTACCAGCCGCTGCTGCATTATTTAAGAGGCTGATGGCCGCGGCTGATTGATATTCATGAGATCTGTAGAGATCTGTGTGTGTGTGTTGTCATTGGTCGCACACACACACACACACACACACACACACACACACACACACACACACACACACACACACACACACACACACACATATTCTCACACTCTCTCTAGCACGCACACTCTCTCTCACACACACACACACACACTCTCTCGCTCTCGCGCACACGCATACTCACACACTCTCTCTCGCGCACACACTCTCACACGCAGGCACACTCACACACTCTCTCTCACACACACGCACTCACACACACACTCTCTCTCTCTCACATTCACGCACGCACACGCACGCACACACACTCACTCTCTGACAATCATGTTGCACCAGGTAGCTGTCAAATCATGACATCCCTCCAAATCAATCCTGCAAACACTTTTCTCTCTCAAACAGCATTCGGAGAGAAACAGCTTGTTCTGATGCGCACCGGACGCGAGCCGGATGTCCAATCCAGCAAAGATGGAGCCTCGACGGGGGACAAAGAGGAGGAAAGGGACGCGTGCCAGGATCTGGAGACACCATACGCTTACTGATACGACAGCACCTTCAAACCAGGACAAAGAGTGAATGACTGCACAAATAATACAACACCTGATGCAAATACACAAACACAAAAACTGTTCATCTGACACTAAATTAAATGACACTTGTCTTTTAGAGCAGCGTCATTTTGATTTGTGTCATAATTGATGATGTTTGCATCATTCAAACAATCTGTATTGTATAAAGGACCACAGAAATAAAGCTTGCCAGCGTCTGGAAACCTCAGTGTGTGCTTGCTTTCCCGTAAAGCGTCTGTTTGGTGTTTGAGAGCATCTGAGGATCCACATTCAGTGCTAATAGACCAGTGTGGAGCAGCCGAAGCGAGACAGAAACGATGTCTGAATGAGACGTCGAGAGCTTCACGGTCGAGCGCGCGGGGAATGCTGACTGGAGGATTGGGAAAGAGAAAACACAGTTTGATGGCACTATCAGTCTGAACTCACAGCCCTAACATCTACATGAGACAGAGCTGTTGCTGTCGATTGTGTCAGCGCAGACACATAAGCTGTTTGTTCTGCATGTGTTTGTGCAATGGGACAAGAAACAGACGCTACCAATTTCAGCCACGACTCAAACATGGGAGTTATTTTCAAAAAATCAATTGTTGTTTAAACAGCAGTAGCACTGCAACCATTTATGCATTTAGCAGATGCTTTATCTAAAGAGGAACCATCACATTTCATATCAGACGTGTCATCAAGAGTAATCTGTGCTCTTTGGTTGCATGTAATATCAGCATTTATTCCTTCATAACCGTGGCGTCTATATTAACACAAGCCACATCTATGGCGTATTTCTGTCAGTTAGGCTCATAATAAATAATAATACATAATACAGTGCAATTTTGTACTGTATTTTTTTTAATAAAAAAAATAACAGTACAAAATTGTTTGATTATTATATAAATAAATGCATTTAGGAGCGAGTCTCGTGATCTGAACAGAGTTTTTAATTTTAATCTGAATACATAACAAACGCCAAGAACAGGACATTTAATTGAAAGTAACAATCGTGCAAAACAAAAGCATTTCTGAATCTGATTTCTCCAGCGATGTCGCGGATGTGCTTCATAAGACGCTCGAGTGATCACCTTCTGCACACACACGACAAACTTCATGAAATACAACAAACCAGCAATCATCAGCAGATCAAGTGCACTTCACACCATCTATTACAGTAATAATCGGCTCCCAAAGCACATCAGGAATCACAGCCGAAGCGACCTCCGATGTCCTCAGCTCACCCGCTCGCAAACACCATCTCGCATCCGAGCTCGGAGGAAGCGTTTCACACATTCACCTCTGAAACCAGCCCCGCTTTCACCCAAAACACACTGCCTCGAGCAAAGCTTCACCACCTCGGCGTTACCTGTCCACACTCACCTGACGCATGCCGGCGGTCATTATTTCCATCGGTCAGAGTTAGTTTCCATAGACTGCATGAGTAAAAATATGAATGATATTATAATGTTATACTAAAACTAAAATGAAAATAATGGGAAAAACCCTAAAGATAACATGTAGAAAGATAAAACCGCAGAATAACATAAGTGGACTTTGAACGATTAACAAACGTCTCGGTTCAGTGCAATGCTGATTCAATTCAGTTCAATAATGTTGATGTTCATTCATTATGAAACAAACTCTATTTCAACATAAGGGTCATTATTCAGCTCAATTCAGTTCCAGTTTTATCATCCAATGAAATGCAGTTAAATTGATAATATTACTGAATATTAATTGCCTAACAAACCAAATAAAGCAGTGACAGCAGACTGTTTTGTAATATATAACATAAGGACATTTATTCTTGCAGAATGTTTGATGCATTAACCCTCAAATGTCAACTATGCATCGGATTGGTTTCTTCTTTAAATTATAAAAAAGTAAAAATATGAATGATATTATAATGTTGTTCTAAAACTAAAATGAAAATAATGGGAAAAACCCGAAAGATAACATGTAGAAAGAAAAAAACGCAGAATAACATAAGTGGACTTTGAACGATTAACAAACGTCTCGGTTCAGTTCAATGCTGATTCAATTCAGTTCAATAATGTTGATGTTCATTCATTATGAAACAAACTCTATTTCAACATAAGGGTCATTATTCAGCTCAATTCAGTTCCAGTTTTATCATCCAATGAAATGCAGTTAAATTGATAATATTACTGAATATGAATTGCCTAACAAACCAAATAAAGCAGTGACAGCAGACTGTTTTGTAATATATAACATAAGGACATTTATTCTTGCAGAATGTTTGATGTTAATTTGATTGTAGCCTTAACAACTAGTGAAGTGATTTAAATAATTGATGTAAAAAACACGCATGAAAGAAGGTAAAAATGTCCCTAAAACACTCCAACATCATCTGAATAACTGTCATTTACATACAAGCAAAGACAAATTCTTATTTAGTTGGGCTCATATCTTTACACTTCCACTGCTCTGGAATAATTGCACCGCTGATAAACAGCACGCTGGAAATCTCACACCCCATAATCAATTTATTTCAATTGTGCATGTGAACTATTACTCGATGAGATGAGATGAAGATTTCCTCCCGCGCGGGACGGACACAAGCGCGCGTCTGCAGCATTACACTAATATCTGTTTGCAATGAAGCTCCTCAGAGCCGTTCACCGAACGCCATTACATTAGTCCTCAGAAAACAGGGACAGCGACGAGTAATAACGCAGGAGCACATCATATCCTAATAATGAGAAGATGATGAGAAACATCATGCGAGCTGCTTTATTGATGAACGTGAGCAAACAGCCGCGAGTCTTGCATTAATACGGTCCGTGACGTGTTAATATTTGATGATTTCTCCTGAACACGTCTTCGGTTCTGGCAGCGAGTGTGTGAAGTGTGTTTCTGCAGTCGCTCAAAGGAACAATGAGGTGCTGAAAACACAACACACATTGACACGCGTGTCATCGAGCCGCCGCGCGAGTTTATTACCCGTGTTCAGGTGCAGCGGCAGATTGACAGGCGGAGGTGCGAGCGGGCGAGAAGCATCAACACATCAGGGGTGGAGCCGCTGCCAACAACTGAGCCGTGACCTTCCCCAAAAACCCCGAGCCAACATCACAGCGTGAGCGCCGCTGACTTACAGACTGACGAGGGCTGGTGTCACTGAACACGACGCTTCTCAACACGTTAGCCACAGGACTGGGCCGCTAGAGAGGAGAGGATGATGGGAAACGCAGCCCATGCGCACAGTCAGACGCAACGGGAAACCATCCTCCCTAATCGCCCTCCACTACAGGAACGCTCACCGTACAGAGAAAAACACAGCGCTGCTGCTCATTAATCAATGAGTCAATCAAAAGAGTCCAGTGCCGATATCAAGAGAGATCAACGTTGGCCTGTATGGACCCGAGTCACATTCCTGAGTTTCTCTGAAGCTGAACTCATCATAGTCTGGTAAAGTTCTATAGTGCTGAACAGAAACTACAACAAATATCATTAATAGGCAAAAGAAAAATCCACAGTAGCGTTTCAATAACTTTCAAAAAGGGGAAAAAT